TGGCATGGTAATTTATATGGGTTGCGATATGCCCCTGTACGCCTTTTCGCTCTTCTTGCCCAGCATTATCCAGGAGCTAGGTTGGAGCACAAGTACCGTCCGGTCCCAGCTTCTCAGCGTTCCCCCTTACGCTGCCGCTGCTGTCCTCACCGTTGTCATTGGCTTTGTCGCCGATCGAACTCGCCAGCGTGGTCTGTGCAACATCCTAGTTAGTCTCATTGGCATTGCTGGTTTCATAATGCTTCTAGCCTCTACAGACCCTAGAGTTAAGTATGCCGGCACGTTCCTCGGAGCTCTCGGTATCTACCCTTGCATTTCGAACACTATCAGCTGGATGGCAAACAATATCGAGGGTGTATATAAGCGAGGTGTCGTACTAGGCTTTGTGATCGGCTGGGGTAATTTGAACGGTATCGTCAGCTCCAACATCTACTTTAGTCCGCCTAGGTATCTCGAGGGCCATGGAGTCATGATCGCCTACATGGCGCTATTCCTGTTCGGTGGCAGCGTGTTGATGACGACACTGCTTCGTATCGAGAACGGGAAACGACGACAGGGGAAGCGCGACTACCTAATAGAGGGGAAAAGTGCAAAGGAGATTGAGGCCTTAGGTGACAGCAAGCCTGATTTTTTGTACACAGTTTGATTTTCAAATTGGTGTGGCCGGCGCTTTAATACGGACAGACGTAGGATATATGGGGTGGCTCTTGGTCATTATTTCCCTAGTCCTCAGTATGTTTTACATGGTGGCAAAACATAAGATCACGTTTTCCTTTGATACTAGAGGTTATGGCGAGGTGGATATATACAAGCAACTCTTCCCTTTGGGATACGGTTTTCACTGTTACATATTACTCTCATAGTCCAGAAGTGTCGAGAATATTAGAGGGCGGGAATAGGAAATATCCACTACAATACCATATTCATGTAGCCGCTATGATTCCCAAATATCATCGTAGTTGCTTCGGTGTGAACCCTATTCTTTAGGCTCACTATCTAAACACCTAGAATTCTCCAAGTGTTCACGTCACTTAGGCTAAGCGATTAACCTAAGTGAGATTATTAAGTTCTCTCTTTAAGTGAAGTGGTCATCCTATTTCCGTCCATTTTCAGTCCCGCGACGTCGCGTAGCGCGACAAAGAATGGTAGAGTCAGGTATGTACACACCCCTATCCTTTACGGATTCCGACAAACTATCATACATGTAGGCACTCGGTCAAATCATTAGCTTTTGCTATCCCACATACCCCCTTAGTTCAAAACGATATGGACTATGATTATACTGACTTACCTACTGACCCGCCCATGGAGACTGGGCTTGGATAACCGTGTTTTGATTCCCCTAAGTTGAACTTATCCAACAGCGTACACTATCTTCTAAATCACAATACGCCTGTGCCCATATATACTAGCTAATGCCTTATATCGAAAGATCTTAGTAATGACCCGACGGGTGACTGACGATGACTTCAGGGTTGAATATAAACGAACGGAACTGACCTCGTCAATTTTGCCCCTGAATCTCATTTTCCAATAGGGCGTGCCGTCATGGTGGAATAAGCGAGATTCAACAACGAATTTAGAATAGGAAAACTAGGTGGGTTTCTCGCCTATAGACAGAACTACGCTCAACGACCGTCTCGGCTCGTATAGTTGACATTTTTCAAGTTCAAGTCTTGAGATTGGAAAAACCCAATCCTGCGTTACACAACCTTTAATTTGCTTTAGCAATACTTATTATATTAGAAATACTTATATTTCTCGTTCGGACCTCGGAGATTTCGGGTGCGACGTATTCCTTTGCTTGGAAACACAAAGAGTAATAGTTTGTATCACTGTTGACTGAAACTACATCAAATTGTACTGGATCAGGGGACCCGAGTCTTGATTCGGATAGCTTCTCCTTTGGGTTCTTTGAGGTCCCGAAACAACGTGGTGGGATTAGGGGTCTCGAGCCCTCGTGGAGTAGATGGAAATAGCCACGAGAAACAAACGAGTTAAGTATTAGGTACACTTGAATAAAAGGTACCTACCTTAGTACCTCTTAAGATATAAACCTAGCCAATCTAATCGTAACTTACATATGACTTGCATTATTAAAGGCACTTGCATGTACATACCTACCTAGGTTAGGACAACAGTGGTAATGCAAGGAATGCCGTTTAATCTAAGATGGCATTTTCTGCCCCCGAAAATCAAAGAGTTGGTTAGCCAATCATATCGTGTAGACTAGGTGCTATCCGCCACAAACGGCAATGTCTTACATAGTGCTAAATGTACCTACCTAGGTTAGTGTACTTCCCCCGCGCTGATATTGAACGCCCACGTTTTATTGAGTCCACCCTACCTAGCTTTTAGCATCTTTCTCCACAGCTTTTGGAGTCTTCAAAGCATCGTTAGGGGCTTTATTGTCACGAGCAACACGAGACAATCAAAGAACATCCACGTGTCTACATAGGTAATGTAAGGTATATTTAGGTATGTAGGTAGTTATACCTATAGAGAAGTATCTATACAATCGGAAACTCGGGTCCAAGACAAGTCACAAAATTTTCTTCCATGTTGCGGGAAGCTTTCGTTTCTATCTGCAATATTCCATACATATTGAAGTAGGTAACCTTTGGGACGTAGCTGGACAACTCATTCGGTGACCGAGACTCACGATTACGCTCAGTAAAGACCTGTTCTGGTTGGTTCGACTCCCCTCTCGAGTCGGCAGTGCTTAGCCTCGGTGCATTTCATTGAGATGTGAGAGCCTTCTGCTATTGGACTAAGACTGCAGGATGCATCATGTGGTGTAGCAAACAGCTGTCCATTGGCCCTTCTTGATGAAAAAAGCATTTGCCCGCTTCAGAGATCTTTATGACTGAAGCGCTGAATGTTATTTCTCCGAGCGCGTCCCTTTAACTCACCTACATATTCTCGGAGGTCGGCCAGAACCTTTCGAATGATCTCAGAGCAGTCGTCGCGGAGACGGTAACCCCAGCTGATCGATGCAAGGGTCCCGCCTGTAAAATATCAATCAAGAGGGATGAGACAAGTGTTTAGATCTCCAATTTCTTCCATCCATTCATCGCCTGCCAAGATAGGCTGTTTGTCTTGCGTGGCGTTTACTTTGGCTTATGAACAAGCTAGCCACTCGCCCAATATATGAGAAGCTTGAAATCCTTGCGAGGTCCTGAGTTGCACTTCTACGTATACATATACATAGTACGCCAATTTATCGGGTCGCATCGTCGGTCGTTGATTTGGTTTTATTAAGTGAGGCTAAACCGTCCATAAATGCAGGTTGTGGAGGCGAGTTGCGAATGATGAATTATATACGTGTAGAGTCGCAATCTCCCTGCCCGTCTTACCATCCTTGATCCCAAAACCCAAACCGAATGTGAGGTAGGGACTAGGTAACACCCTTTGGGTGGTATTTACTTCATTTGAGCGTAGTCCAGCTGCTTATAAACATCTGCATTACATGACACTTTGTAAGCTGATCAGGAAGGCTCAAATCAACGCCTCGAGCTGATCGAGCAAGCCAATCAATCCTAAGGCAACCTTGCATTTTCCAGAAGGAGTAAAAGATCCTTTGACAGGTCGATCGGCACATTGGGAAAGGTATGAGATGCTACTCATATATCATTGCTTACTTCCATGTAGTGGCCGAGTTCTGTAGGAGATACTTGATCCGTTTGCTAATAATCGCTCAGCAAGTATACATAACAGTCAAACGTCAATGTATCCTTTTTTTTGAACCTACCTTGCCTTCTCGAGCGGAAACTATAAAGTATTTCGTTGTCGTGTAACAATGAGAAGGAAAGTACCTATACTTCTCTATAAGAGGTGTGAACTTCCTCGGAACAATGGTCCAGATACTGCATGCATGTTACGTTCATGTGGAAGGGACAGGCAGATTACCTCTTCCATTATGTAGTCTCGACGTATCCACATTAAGTACCTTACTCTTTCTTCCTCCAACTTGTAGTCCTAGGTCAGTCTTTCACGAACTTACATGTGTACTTCGTACCTACATACATATTTCCCGTCTGTTACCTGCCAGGTCTATAACCAGGTATATACACAATATCCAAGGCTGAGGACGCATCTTAATATGCATCCACCCAATCGATGATATCTCCTCGGGTACCTATGCGCATTACATCCTCTCCTCCTCTTCTTTACTCTTGCTATGATGCGGCACCTAGCCATAGAGCTGATTTACATCTGACCGACAAGCGAGAGCTGCGGGTACGTGCGTTCCCAGGCCTGTTCGACTTCACCTTCATTCAAGCTTCTATATCCATCACGTTATACGTTTCCTAAGGGTACTCGCTTTGGGTTGACTCGCTCGGCAACTCAAATCTAATTCTTAATTCGACCTACATCCTATATCTCGTCGTTAGAGCTGGTCCCGGTTTTTGAACGACTGATCTTTACGAATTTTCATCTACTTTCCCTACTTACCTCATATTGCTTACGATACGGTTAATAAGGTCGCCAGTCGCGGTGCTCCATCTGTTAGGTATATCAACAAGGAATGGTGAACAGCCTTTTGGTATTCGTCGAAGTCGATATTCATACTTAACAACGTTGTTGATGGTCTTGTTCTACACACATACTGGCTTACACTTCTACTTATACTTTTCTCCTTTTACTTGGAGTCTGTCACTCCCTAGTTGAAGTCTACACGCCTGTGTCGAATCAAGTCTGTCCACCATTGTGTAGCAGAAAAAATATAAGCCGCCTCACTCATCGAGATACGGGACGGTCTTCCGCGCCCTGCCACAGTATTGACCTTACATCGTTGAACGACACAATCCAATTTGCTTCATATATGGCGGGGGCACTGTGATCCCTAATAGGCTTTGCGCGGAAATTGGATACGTACTTAGCCTCGAACTTATACGAAGAGCAGCGCCGTATAGACAAGCCTTTACTATACCCTGGTGTGCAACACATGTAACTGGCATACCCCTTAAACCTAGTCCGAGCACGTTACGACAGCCGTGATGGAGGAAACGGTACACAGAGACCCTGATGGAACTGGCCAAAGCATCTCTCCCGGGGAGCTCACAAGAAGTCATATCGAAACCATCGTGATATTTGAGAGACTAGGCGCCGCATTATCTGTCACTGGGGTCCTTCTTATTTTCGTTGCTTATGCAATATTCAAAAGACTTCGCACCGTACCAAATACCTTCATTCTGTTTGCGTCTTTTGCGAACTTGGGGGCGAGCATTGCCTGTTTGATAGGGTATTCGGGGGTGCTGGCAGGATCAACCAGCCACCTTTGCCAGGCTCAGGCTTTCATGTTTGAACTGTAAGTCTATTGAGAACATCTCTCCTAAAATTTCTCTTCTACAGCCCCTTAGAGTAGAGGAAAGTATACTAGTAAATTGCGATTAACGTATACTAGATTTATGCAATCAGATCCGTGGTGGTCCTTTGCCATGGCTGTCAATGTGTACATGGTCTTTTTCTTCTCTGCAAATCCCAAAAGCTTTCTGCGATACTGGTGGGCGTATTTCCTCGTCTGTTATGGGATACCCTTCATACCGTCATTATGGCTACTCATTGTCCGTGGAAGTGATGGGCAGATTGTATACGGCAATGCGACAGTATGTCACTGTCTAGCATAGAACGGGGGGCCCCCCCCCCCGCCAAGGCGGGGGGGGGGTGGGGTGGGGTGGGGGTGGGGGGGGGGGGGGGGGGGGGGGAGG